GGAAGAGTCACCACTAGGTTTAAATTAGCTGCAGCTTCACCACCAGCATGGTCAGCTCTGTGGTATTTTCTAGAGTTCCCACTCACAGCAGAAAGAAACTCCCACGAAGGCTAAATCCGAGCTGCAGCACAGATGTTTAGAAACCATGGAAAACTCCATCAATTCGATGCTAGCCAATGAAGCAAGGAGTAATTCACAATTCCCTGAAGAACTGCAGAAACAGAGCAGATAATTTATGAAATTTATTACTTATGGCTCGATTGGAACTTGCAGCCAGACTCTGCAAATAAAGCTCAGGTCTTATGGGAGAACAGACAAAATAATTTTTTTTGTGATTAGGTTAAACAACAACAAAAAACAGATCATCTTTAAGCAGGTCAACATTTGGGGATTAAACTAGATGAAAGCATCTTGACCTGAGCAGGTATGTGCAGAAGGGTGGAATAATTTAGGTCGAAAGGGACCTCTGGGGGTGTCTACGCTGGCCTCAACCTCATCCAGTTGAGTTTTTCCATTACCTTTTGGGGCTGCAGCTCCACTGTTTGGCCACCCTCAGCATGAATGTTTTTTCCTTTAGATTCACCAGGAATTTTCCTTAATGCAGCTTGTGGTCGTTGCCCGTCACCACTCACCGTGCGCCTCCCACCGCTCCGTGTCCTCTTATACCACCCACGAGACCAGGGGAAGATCCTGCCCAGAGCCAGCGCGGACAAACGCTGGTGTCTCATCGCCTGCCACGTTCCCAAGCCAGCAGTGACCCTACGAGGGACTTGAGTTGGACCAAACCTGGACACTCCTCTCACCAACGACGAGCAAAGGGCACTGCTCACTTCCCTTGACCTTGGTCCACTCGTTGCTGTCCGTTATGCCAGTGATGGAATCAACACCCTGCGTGTCGGTACTGCAAGATGAACCTACAATTCTGGGGCATCAAAGAGCACTACAGCTGCTTGTTGCTGTTTGCAGCTATTTTCATCAGCTAACTGAGCTTTTGCAAGCACCTGGGAGCTCACGCTTGATAAAAAGAGGATTCAAAGCAATATAAAAAAGGAAGTGGAGGTAGAAATTGTTGTTTTAAGAAGACGGTGAGAGACGACGACTCAAGTACTAAGGACGTTATGAGCCACAAAATAAGAGCCAGACCTTAACTCTACAAAGTTAACAGCAACCTGCACGCGTCACACGAGAGGAGGATCTTGAATATTTCCTTTGCTGTTCACAGGATGAGCTGGTAGCTCCAGTCTGCAACCAGATCTGTTTCACTGGGACGCACAGAACAAGACGTTTTAATTTCAGACTGGTTACAAAACCTTGCTACCCTATTGCAATGCTACAAAAAAGAGAGGCTCAAGTGTCATACAGCTCCAGGGACAGATCACAAGGAGGACTTCCATGCTGTGGAACACACCTGGCACCGAGGCCAAACTCCAGGACACTCCCCCCAGGGTTTGGTCCATTCACATCCAACTGGGAAGTTCTCAGTCAGCTGCAACTTGTCGCGCTGAGCGCAGAGAACCAAGGAAAGAAGCTGCCACCAGCAGCCCCATGACAGCCACGGCCTCAACTCTTTCCTCGTGCCTCTTGGTGGCCAAAGAAAAGCCAAATGGTGACAAAGCCAGGTGGAAAAGCCAAAAACACACCATGGACCTAAGGGTTATTTGGTCAGCAAGAGCCAGTTCTGTTATTTTCTCTGGTGAGAAGAAGACAGCGACAAGAGCTGCTTAGCAGGAAGCCACCACCGAGGAGGCCCTGCCGATGGCCACCCGCTCCCGAGCGTTTTCTCTTTGACCTTCACAGTGGAGACTGATGCTTCGTGAGCCCAACAGCTCTCCGACAGTGACCGACAGAATTAAGGCCAGTTTATTCTACATTAGATAGCATAAATACACAATTTTAGTGGTGTTACCTGGATCTTGCATCAAATAGGCCAATATTCAGGAGCTAGACGTTCTAGCACTAATTTTGTTCTTCCCTATTGCTTTAGAAAGGCAATGCTGGAAATGACTTTTTTTTTTTTTTAAGATGCTATAGTAAGCAATATTTCTTTTAAAATTGCAGCTGTCCAACAGTTTGAGTCTGTTCTTTTAAAAATGAAACAGCCAGAACAAATGGTGGTGGCAATCCCAACATAAAGAGGCCATCGATTATTAAAATCTCCTCACAATAAATCCTGGATGTTGCTTGTCAGCTCGGTGTGTGACTGTAGTATGAATAAGTAGGTAAAATTCCACTAAGGCGAGAGTTTGCTCCATCATTCTGCTGTGCAAAAATAGAAATAAAAGCTCTCCCCCTCCTTTCATTCCTTAGCACCAAACACTCCTGAAAAAACACGCTAAAAAAAGCAACACCCCAACCTGCAATGGTGCAAGGGTAGCTGAGCTCATTTCTTCCTTTCCTGAGTCTGCCCTGATGCTACTTATGGATTTGCCTACTCAAGAAATGCAATAAAACAGAGAAGGACGGCTCCCTTCTGCTCCAGTGATCTATATCTGAGCAGAGCACATAAATTTCCCAATGAAATCCATAAATGAAAGACGGGGCCAAGCCCTCCCTATACATCTTCAAAGGTGGAGAGACAAAGAGGTGCCAGCTCCGTGCCCTCCGCAAGCACCAAACCTCCTCCGCACTTACCTAAGCAATTTCCACAAGATTAACAGATGTGAGGAGCATCTAAGTCAGCCTCTGCCTCCAAGGGGAAAGTTTTAGGCCGGCTAAAAAGCTGCTGAGGAGCCACATCCGAGGCGAGGCAGCCGGGACGCGAGCGGATGCTTCCTTCAGCAGCAGCTTCCCTTCCTTCCCTGCGCCCTTCCGAGCGGAGGGCGCCACAAGGAGACCCGTCCCTCCAAACCCAGCTGGTTTCCCCTCTCAAGCTATTCCCGCGCAAACGGGGAAGATAAAAATGGAATGTGCTGGAAGCACTATGGAAATTTTTATATATCCGCATACAAAAATTTACATAGTTTTCTCCCGTTTTTCTTTTTAATGTAACACAGTCCTGCCCGTCTCTAACACTTCCCGTGCTGTTTCCATTGAAATGTTTCCTCTTACCGGCAGCAACATATCATTTTATCAGGATGCCAGGAGATCATTTCCACACAATGCCAGCAGATGTAATTTTCTTAGATGCACACACAGTTCATCATTTAGATACTAGATGACAAGGTGATCGCAGGGTGACTCTGTAATGCAAGTTTGCTGTTTGGTATTTTGAATTCTCAAATGATAAAAAAAAGACTTATCAAATATAAATATCTTTAAGAAAAAAGTAACAAAAGTGCTACATATGATCAAGGAAAACAATTCCATTAGTTTCTGCTACTTAAAGTAGGTTTGCTTTACAAATATTACCACATCCATTATCAGTATGGCTTCCAATTATTAATTAAATTGCTCGTAGCAGTATAGCTTTCTCACATCTTAACAAGGACAGAGTAAAGAGAACACAAAACATTCACACCCCATTTCTCAGGTAAGAGATCCTCCTGCCTTTAAGCAAACCCCAAAGTCCATTTTTTTTAGAATATTTATGCTACGATGGTTAATTAGCACAGGTCAGGTGCAAAAGGTCTCCAATCAGCTTTCAGGCATCGGTTATACCCAGATGTGTAAAAATTCACTCACCCATTTTACGACCTTATTACCTTCCTGGAAAACATTGCTTTTGAGAGTGGCAACGTGGGGAGGGGACAGAAAAGGTGAGAGGAAGAAGAAAACGTGAAAGCGGTAATGACAGATCGATAGAGTCTAGACCTCTTCTGAGCAGGCACTGCCAGCCGTGCCAAGGACCCAGCAGCGGTTTGGAGGAGGGGACGGGTGTCCTTTAGACATTCAGCTCATTTTCCACGGGATCCCGGGCTGCACTCGTGGTCCCAGAGGCAGAAGGCAGCGCTCAGCACTCCGGCTCGCGCGCGCAGAGGGTGCCTGCGTCGAACACGTGCCCAGCGACCCCAACGGGGGGTGTTTCCAGCGGGCATTCTCAGCACAGCACCCGAAAGCAGATCAAGTCACTGTATGAGCAGGGAGGCACGGCTTATTGCAGCTGGAAATCACTTATTCCCAGGCTGAAGTGGGGTTTCTAGTGTTCTTTTTACTCTCTGTTGATACTCCCAATCTGGTGTCCATCGACCCTGTGCCACTACCTCAGCTTGCATCCTTTCAGTCTCGGAGAAGGAAAAGCGTACAGGCTATTTTGTTTTCTTTTCTTTTTAAACACCACGTCTAAAGGTATCCAAGGTTTTAAGTGTAGCCTAAGACCTGGAATTGAGGGCTGTCTAAAATACCTGGAAGCACTTTGAATGCTAAGACAGAGCAGCAAGATTTGTTTTTCTAGCCACTGGGGCTGGGAGAGGGAGGTTGGTTGGTTGATTGATTATTTATTGGGAATTAATACTGAGAGAGTATATGCAAAGGCTGAGGGCACCATGCCATCTTCACAGAACAAGACCCTAACAGCTAACTGACGTACAAGAAACTGCAAAGTTATACTGTAAGAACACATATTAAGGACCGAGGAAAGTCTGCTAAGGTGCTACGTCTAAAACTAAGTTACTTCTTGCTTGGACCCTCCCCCTTCTCTGCATCAGTCGTCGTCTAGAGCCTCTGTCTTGATCTCGTTGGCTCCTTGCCGGGCCAGGGCCAAGATGGTGTGGTTTACGGCTGCCATCTCCACGGCTAAAGAAATGGGGTCCTGGTGGTCACTATGGCTAGTGCTGTCGTCCTGCGTGGGCGGAGAGGAGAAAGAGAAGAGGCGACGGTTACTGCACGAGAGGAGGACGCGGCGGGGGCGACGCGACGCGCGACGGGCAGCGAGGATGGGCGGAATTGAGCTGGGGTTCCCTCACTGTGCAGGCTGAGCTGGGCCAGGGGCGGCCTCCCTGCTTTTGGACAGGAATAAATTCCAGGAGGGTGAGGATTTGGAGGAAAACATTGAATTATGCAGAGAAAAGTGATGCACAACGTATGACAGAAAAGCAGGCTCCGACAGGGCTCAGTGCCCGCTGCACAAGCTCAGGCTGTGCCGGCATTTTGGATACTGTGCCCAGTTGTGCTCAAAAAAAGAGAAAAGACATAATAGAACTAGCAAAGGTACCGAGAAGGGCAACCAAAATGAGCAGGCATGGGATGGCCTCCATAGCAGCAGCCTAAATGCACTAGGATTTTAGCTTGGAAAGGCATTGGCTGGTGGGTGATACAGTAAATGCTTCCTACAAATAATTAGTGCGTAGAGAATTATTAGTCAGCACCTCTCACATTCTAATAAGGAAGGACCTCGCTGAAATGGTTAGGCAATGATGCCAACGCAGCCACAGAAGCGTCTCTTCAATTCTCATCCTCTGGTTTTTGGGGAAGCCCAAAGGAAAAATGGCTTTAAAAGGAGGCTGGGCAATTCCCAGAACATCAGTTTACTGGCAGCCACCAAAAATGAGAGGGTGGATCCTATGGAGCTACTAAATTCACAGAGGTGTGGGGAAAAGCTCGGTCAGGGCAGCCTGGAAACCTCCCAGACCGCTGTGAAAACAGCACAGCGATTACTAGGGGGCAACTACCAAAAGCCAAGGACCTGGGTGACCATTTCCCAGGTTCAGAGGCCGCTGAAATAACTGCCAGGTATTTTTCCATGTCGCCTTCATTTCTAAAGAGCAGAGTCTCTGCTGTAGAGACCTGTGATGATGGGGAGCATATTGAAAACAGGGGCCCACATGTCACGTGTATTCTCCTGGGACTTTGGGCAAAATCAAGGTGTGTTTACCCCTCTCTAAAATGGGGTACTGACACTCACCACACCATGACCTTGCTTTGTTTTTTGTCCAAGAAAGGAAACGATAAACATTTATCACTCTTCCAGCAGCCATCAGGTGATGAGCTGGCAAAATAATCTATATTTTTAAGTTAAGATGGCAAATGCCGAGCGGGACAGAAAAGCCAGGACCCTGAGGGTAAAGGAATCCATCTATTTGCAAGGAATACAGGGCAAACGTGCAATGTGCACACACAGCACTAAACATGCACACGCACCAAGATCCTTGGGGTAATCCTCATTTTGGCAAGAAACAGTGAGAAACCAAGTCCTGCCTTCTGCAGTTTTAGTCACTTCGTTAGTATTTGGGTGAACTTTGTGTTTTGAAGCTTACCTAGAGTTTAAATGGTGCTGTAGGAAAGGGAATTTATGGTTTTAACAGCTACGGGATATTAAATGGTCATCAGGATTGCCTGCCATTTAATCCGCTTTGTTTTTAATGCCTAATTATACTTCAGAGAGGAGCCTAGCTAGGTTGCTGAGCAAAGTAATGTTTAAGGGCTCTAAACAGAGATTTAGGAAACGTTAAGATTCGTTTTATTTCTCTTTTCAAAGTATTCTGGCTAACGCACAAAAGAAAAATATAGTCGGGGTGTCTAAATAACAGCTCATCCGAGGATCCCGCATCTGCCCGGCAAGGAATGAACTCTGCTCGGCGGCAGCTTCCAAACATCTGACAACGGTCTCGGAGCAGCCTCGTCATCTACGGCCAGGAAAAGGCTGGTTCCCCCAAATCTCCTGGTGATGATCTATAAAAGGGGCCTAAATACCCACCAGAAGTGGAGAGGCTGGGGAAACATCGCTCCAGGGCGCTGCCTCGCTAACAGCAGCACCTCTCGGAGAAGGAGACCTAGCAATTTCTTCCCAACAAATCCATTAAAACCAACCAGCCCACCCCGGGTGCTGGGCATAGCCCCGGACACAGCTACCACCAAATCCAGAACCAAGCAAATGAATCGTTCAACAAGGCCACCGGTGTCAAGCACACACAGCCCTGACGGGGTTGGCCGACACTGACACCTGAGGGAAAATTGGGAAGGGGGTGCAATACCTGTCAGGAAGGTGTGTGGAGGAAGGGTCACCAACTTTAGGGTAGGTGAGGGCTCAGAGTGCGGGAAGGGGTATTCTTTTGCTAGAGAATTTAAAAAAGAAGTTGCTGTCAAGGGTTAAAAATAACCAAGAAGAAAAAAAAAATAGAGAAGAGGCAAGAGTTAAAATGCAAAAAGGAAAAAAAGACAGACAGATAATATGTAAACAACCCAAATAGTGGCACATGGTCGCAGAGCAATACGCAGCGGGTAGGGGCCAACTACGTGTCAACCTCGAGGTTAGCAAGTCCTTGCCCCCCTCCCTTCGCCCTGTGTCCATCAGTGTCCTGGGGACGATCCGGGGACGCTCCCGAAAGGCACTCGGAGATCCCCGCTGCACGGAGGGTGCTCAGCCCCTCGCAGGAGGGTGGGCAAGGGTGACACGGGGGACCCTAAGGGGCTCGCCCCCCTACTCATCTGGGTGCCAAATAAGCAGCTTAGAGGAGCTGTAACCCAGGCTGTGACGAAGACATTTCTGGTGGAAGGGAATAAGAGACGCGAGCGGGACCCGCACGCCCGGGTTGGCGGTGCCTGAGATTCCGGGACACCCGTTCAAGCCCTGAACATCCTGAGGGCGAACGGCTGGGACGGTGCCCGGGGTACGGAGAGCTCGGGCTGTGCGTGGTGCCCGGGGTGACTTAAGGCTCTCCTAACATTTTTCATACATTGCGTGTGGCGTGAATGGTGTAACTTGCTTGTTTGGAGCAGATCCTCCTGTCTTCTTCTACCTTCTCTGCTTCTCTGCCTCCCTCTGAACATCTTCCCTCCTCCTCCCCATTGCGTACTTGCCAAGTGTCCTGTTGTATGACAATAAATCCGTGTGGGTCAATGCTGGCTTCTCAACGCGTGCAAACAGGGGAGCTGTGCGCTGCCGCCTTCCCCGTTACATTTACACACGAGCAAAAAAAGCAGGAGAAATTCCATTTGCAAGAGCAAAGCCTCCCCCTCCGGGGCCGCAAGGGCATTTACCTGCTCCGAGTAGTCGTTGCCATCGACGTCGTCGCTGTTGGAGTGACCGCCTGGACTCTGTACATCTATTCCATGGCTCTCCAGGATTGCTGCTTCTTCGAAAAAAGCAAATGGATCCCTAATTTATCTGATGCATTAGAGTTATTAAAAGCAACTAGTTCTTTTTTCAACAGGTTGGAAGAGCAGGAGCAACAGAGTAGTTTCTTAGCTCTTCCCTTTACTCTACAGTATTGGTAAGTAGCCCAGGTGCAGATACCAGCTTGCCTGAAAGCCTTCTCTGCATTAATTATGCCTTGCCTTTCTCATTTGACAGACAAGTTTTACTTTTAAAGAATACATTTAGATGAAATCTCAAAAACATACTTGAAATGCTGCAAAAGGAAGCTTTTCTTCTGGACAAATGCAGAAAACAGAACGTTAGCTTCTGCCAAAGCCACCAGCAAAAGACCACGACACTTGCTTGGCAATTGCAAAACCACTGGGTAGCAAACAGGGATCTGGTCCAGGTACATATGGCAAACTCAGTTCTACCTAGCACCTACGGAGGTGCAAAACACCTTGCAGGTAATACAGAAATGTGCTGAATCCCAGTAGCATGATTTGCTCTCATTACAACATTAGCCATGCTAGAAGGTGCCTCCTTACAGGTTCAGAGAGGCTCCTGAACCAGCAGGCCCAGCTCTGAAGTCACTTCTGTTCCAGCCTGATCATCCAGCAATATTTGGAGTTTGCCCCAGCTCTTTGTCACTGTGTAACTGCACAGAAAGCGACGAGATGTCACGGGTGTAACTGGAACAAGAAGCTGGTTTGCAGGACACCTTTGGTGCTGGTGGCTCTATCAGAGATGCTAAAACAACTCATCTGGACTCTTAGATCCCTGTGGGATGGCAGGGAGAACGACATCCCTAGGTTTTAGCCGAAAAAACAAGCACATTTCAGGGGAACTCGGGCACAAGAAAACCTAAAGCCCCATAAAAGCTCTTCACAACAGCCACTTTTCACTTAAACTGCATGTTAAGGTAGCAAACGCAATATTCTCCAGTTCCCTTATTCCCAATGCAGATATGCTGAGATTTTATTTCTCATTTTATCTGGGATACCCAGAGGGGCCTGAGCAAGGGGAACCACGATTCTCCTGCCACTGCCAACAGTCTATTTTTGGTTTTTAAAAGTGGTCTTCCAGCAAAACTTTATACCAGGTCCATCTTTCCTGATGATTTTATAACTGCAATTCCTACTTGCATTTTAGAAAAGACCCAGAATGGCAAGAATCTTGCTTTACAAATCGCTCCAGGTTTCTCTGCAGATTGCCATAGCTGCTTGTACCATCATTAATGCCATCTTAATAATTCCATCTCTCCCACAGGAGCTCCTAACCCCACGAGCAGGCGCTCTGATACATTACCGATATTGGCTCGTCTCTTGATTTCCTTCCTTCTGTTGGCAAACCAGTTGTACACCTTGAGGGAGGTAACTCGCTCCAGGTCCGATAACTTTTTTCCTGAGAAAGTAATGGGGAAAAAAAAAGAAATTACAGCATCGTTGCTCCCTAGGTTCCAGAGCCCGAGGTGCATGGTTAACTCTTGAAATATAGGCAGCATTGAAAAGCAATAATAATTGAGAATCAAGTGATTTTTTACATGAACCAGAGCGCTGTGCATGGATGGTATGGTGATAAATGCCAAGGTAGGATGCTCAATGTAGCTGCATCCTCTGTGGGGATGAGGATCCCCCGTTCTGGCTGCTTATCCTAATTTGCTCAGCATACAGAATGTTCCTCTAATTGCAACAGCAGGCAGCATGCACCAGCCTGCAGACTTGCTTAAGTAAGGAGAGATGGCACGAGTGAAAGAAAGCAAACTCTGGAAATAGATACCCAGACTATTTCCTAATGCCTTGCATTAGCGCTGCTCAAAATATTTTATCGATCCGGAGAAGCCGCTATCAAGCAGCTTGTTCAAAGTTGCTAAACCAACCAGAGACTGAGCCAGGACTAAAATCCCGACCTCCTCGGCGCTCTACTGCTTGATCATCCTGCTCAGTGGAAAGGCAGGAGACAACGGAGAAAAGCTGGAATGGGGGAAGTTCTGACTAGATATCAGGAAAAGCTGTTTTGCTTGGAGAGGGCTCAACACCCAAGCAGAGACCTAGAAAGGTGGGAGAAACTCCACTTTTGGAGATATTCAAAATTGAGCTAGACAAAGCCCTAAACAAATTGATCTGAGCTGGCATTGACTGACCAGATGGTTTCCAGGGGTCGCTTCCAGTCTAAACTGTTCCACAACTCCGTCCTATCCTGGGACGGTCCCTGTGATCAGGAGTCATGCCTGAGTTTTCATTCGCATTAACTTTTATTCTAGCAATAGATACTGTAAATAATCTGAGTTCTGAAAACTGTGTAACTATTGGATGAGTTGAAGCGAGTAAATGCAGGCGTGACCACTGATACCTGAGCCCCATACTGAGCACTGAGGTTCCCCTCTCAAACATGACTTCTCCAGGAGCAGAGAAAATGTAATTTGTTGACAAAAATACAAGGTCCTCTATTAACACAGACTCGTATTTTGCAACTGGTGGAAACGGGGATTTTAAAATTGCACCGACTTTCATGATTCATCCAAGTTGGGCAGCTCTGAACGACAGGAGCCGCAGAACGATAAAGAAAAAATCCACGACTAGTTGAGGGCGCTCTATAGCGAGCAAGCGCCGCAAAATGAGATTTGCTGAATTTAGCAGGAGATACTGAAACCTAATTGCGTCCGCCTTTGGAAAGGACACCACAATCTGCTCCTCACCTGGCTTTTGGATAACTGCATTACAGGCATTTGCAATTTCTTCTCTCTTTGCCTCATCGGGATATTGATTCTCATTGAAGTAACTGCAAAGAGGGGAAAAAAAAATGGTTTTTTTTTCAGAAATCAGAGCATGAATTTCCAGAGCAGCTTCACTAAAAGGTGTCAACTGGTAGTTTATGCATCACTGGTACAGAGGTAACACAGACACAACAAATTTTGCATTAAATTAGATAATATCTGCACACACTCATACCTACATGGCAATTAAAAGCCTCCCAAAAGAAAGATCCCCTGCTTAGGCAGTATGCTGCAAAAGAAGGAGCTCTTCAATGTGTATTTTGATTCACTGGTTAACGGAGGCTTTCTACTTCTGACCCTCACTATACCAAACTGTAAGTTGACTCCAAAACAACCTTTTAACAGAAGTTTTGCAACAATTTTTGTATATACACATACACATATTACACAGGTGCTGTGGACTTTGGACAGACACAGTACAATGACTGCACCAGTAAAATCACCCAGTCATACAGCAGGATTTCTAGAATCAGTCTAGTATTAACTTCCAAAAAAAAATTCCCCACAACTTAAAAGTTTTAGGTTACCACAGAACATACCTAAAATACAGCATTTTAATAACATTTTTTTCCAAATAATTGCCATTTTATTGTATTTAATATGCGGTAAACATCTTACAAAAGCTAAACTCTTTTCCCTTTTATTTCATTTAAGCGCTTTACAAATTTTAATGCACTGATTTACATTCCACAGATCTTATCGGATCTGCATCAAAACCAACAAAATGAGCCCTGTTTACGTCACCAGGCTCTGATAGGCACCCGACCAGCAGGGACTACTATATTTTTCTGTGGCTTGTCTATAATACAGAATCCAAAGAGCTCTTTGATCAGCGTTGATCAGTAACAGGGTCTTGGACAGTTGCTGCATATTTGAAAACAAAACATTTTGCTCTATTTGAAGACACTTTAGCAGGAGGCTCACAAAGATGTGGTGCTTCGTTATTTTTCTTCCTTTCCCTCTTTCTTATACCCACACTGAATGCAAGTCAACTTGCATTACCAGAAATTATATTATATTATTATATTATTGCATATAGGGGAATTATATCCTTATTTTCATAGTGGATCAGCCTCAGCACAGCTGCCCTGGTCCATACAGCCACTCCTTTTGCAGAAGTTCTGCTAATGAACAACCCCCTATTTCACTTCCAGCTAAATCAACTCACTGCAAATACAAATTTTGACCATTCGATTTGTTCCTTGGCAATATTCCTAGTCTCTGGGCATGATATTTTTTAAAGTATATCCTTTCCTCTTTCAAATGGATCATTCCTTCTATTCTAATATCCCTTAGAAGGGATGTACATACCCCTCTCAACTTGCAAATTTCTGTTTTAAGAAGTTGTGTTCTGTATAAAACTTCTTTTCCAAGACCCTAAAGTTGGGAAAAGAGACTAGAAAAAGCTCTTTCTAGTTGTACCAGTTGCTTTGTAGTAGCAAAATAGAGAAATCCGCTCTCTTCACAGAGCCAAGAACTTCTTCCTCTTTCTCTTCAATTCTGCTAGCCACAGCAGCTATTTTTTGGATGGCCTTTCCTGAGCATTATCTCAAGTGTCAGAAGTCTAGAACAAACACCATAAAACTGTAAAATAGGAGAAATTCAGAGATTTATACAGTGAAGCACTAAGAAAAGAAGGCAAAGGCCTGCTCTCATGCTCCATTATGGGTCTTGATCACCTGTGGTCACCAAGCAGGGACATGATTTCTGCTTAAGAAATGACAGAAGATGGAAAAAGCAAGGAAAGCTCAATATTTGAAGGGCCAGTTCTCACACTGATGAAGGAAAGTGAGACACCAATTAACCAAGAGAAGAGGATCCCAGCGTCTCTGGTTCCCCTCCTCTCTGCTCGTAGCGGAGCACGATGCTGGTAACAGGTCCCCGACCTCCGCGTGCTGCTGCCAGGCTCAAGCACAAAAACAGGACACGTTTATTAATAGCAACAAGACTTAGGCTGAAGATTAGAGTTCTCTGCGATAACAGGAGAATTCCCCGTGACGGAGCTGACTTTTTCAGAGCAGGACAGTGAATGAGACAACTCTCAGGGCAAAGGAGGAAAATTTTGGGGTGTATTGAGGCCATTTTTTTGTGATTCGGACTAATTTTCAGCTAAACCAGTAATTTATATCCTAAAATGCTCCCCAAATCAATAATAAACATTTTTATTTGATTGAATCAGAATTTATTTTCCATCACTTTGAAACACTGCCTCTATATTCAAAGACCGACTTCTCCTCTTTTAATGTAAATGTCTGCATGTTCCTAAGAGAAAATTGATCCTGCTTGAAAACCTGGAAAGGTTTTTGTCTGTGGCACGTTTTGAAACCCTGTTTTATGAAAAAACACTAAATATCCAGGAAGGTTTTAGGCAGCTCTCTTGGTAAATAGGTCACATTCATGGCTGACCACAAAGTGGATCCCAAAAGGAAGCTTGGAGGGAACAACCCCAGCAGGTAAATTCAATTTCTGTAGTCAGAACCATTATCTCAGTATTTTTCTCTCCTTCCACCTGCTGTTTTTTTTTTGGGTTTTTTTTGGTTTAAGTTTTTCTCTGCTTCCGCCTGCTGTTTTTTTTGGTTTAAGTAACCAAAACCACCACGAGACCTCGACTGGCTGCTTTTCAGCCACCTCCAAGTTCTCCACGTACATGCCAGTAACCAAAATCACCACAAGACCTCGACCTTTTCACCCTCCACCTCCAAGTTCTCCACGTACATGCCCTGTTAACACATCACGTTCGTTTCCCTTGACTTATTTTGAAGACACGTAGGTGATATCATGAGGCAAAATACGATGTTTCAAGGCTCCCAACATTTCTGGTAAATGGGCAAGTCATCTATTTTTAAAGATAGGGAAAGCAAGACAAAGAGTTTAAGAAGCTTCCACACCGTTTCAGTTTGGTCATGCCCAAGCTGTGAATCTTTGGGGTTCATGAGACCATGTTCCTGCTTAGAAACGGCAACCAAAGCAGTGCAGCCCCAGGTTCCTCCTAGGTCTCCTCGAGGAGAGAGGGAAAGAAGCCAGGATGCCCCAATTCCTCTTCAAAATTCCAACCCCCTGGGCTGTTCCCAGTCTGGAAGGAGCAGCTACCAGCTGACCACCTTCAGTGAAGGCCCCAAATGATCATCTTTGTAGGGAGTGACAGTAGAGGATTAAAATGAGAAGTGGCCAAATGATTTACACGAGATGAGAATCCATCCGGCGGGGGAGAACGTGGATATCCTTGAAGAGGGTTCATTTCAAGAACACTGACGCCTAGAAAATGGCAGATTCAGAGCCAATCTCTTTCATTCGACTCTACAGCTCGCGCTACCCAAGTTGGGACATCCGAGGCCTTCGGCAGCGCCCCCAGTAGCCCCGGTGCACAGCAATGGGAGCAGGGGTAGCTTCACTGCTTTGTCATGGGGCTAGATGAAAAAATACACAGCAAAGGCTTTGTTCCCAGCATGACATCACCGTTTTAAGCTTCAAAGTGCCAAAGTGATTCAAAGTATCGACGCTCTGAGGAGCAACGGGGTGACGATTTACAGCAGGTGGTTGGTAGAGCAGAACTGCGCGCAGTCGAGGTGAGGTAACTCAGGTAGGTGCCCATGGGGGCCATCTCACCCCAAAATAAGTGTTAATCAACCCAAAAAGGGGTCGCGATCAGCGTGAGGCAAGAACAGATGGGTATTTATTGAAGAAGAGCAGACCTGACACAAGCTTATTCCTTCGTCCAGCTTCACCTTTGGGCCTCTGCCCTCTCAATTCCATTAATCTGGGAAGCATCCACCAGCGAAATACGTGGAAGGATGCAGGGAGGTATGGAAAAAACTACTCGCCCATTCCCACCAGCTGCCATCTCACCCTGGTGATGGCAAGAAGATACTCTGGCCACCAGGGACCTGCAAGCTGGCCTGCAAGTTGCTCCTTGGTCGTTGATGAGATTGCCTGTAATTTCAGCTCTCCACCCAGCTTCCCTTCAAACAGACCTCTGCTCTCCATGGACGAGCTGCACAAAACACTTGAATACAGTCACCTATTTTGCCCCTCATTGGTATATTTATCAAGGTGGTATCACCTGGCAGCAAGAGGACTTTGTTGCAGTCTATATGTCTTTTAAAAGCATTACTATTCCGACTATCAAACTGATGAAAATACATTCGAGTTAGTCCGTCCTCAGTGCCTGAGGCCGCCTCTCTGCCCAGCAGGAGACAGGCTGCCTGAGAAGGGAATCCAGAGCATAATCTTACCGGAAAGCGTAATTACTAGTTAATTTCTTAGCAAATATAGGACAAGATTTTACTTGTTTTCGGCGAGGTCAACAGAAGGTGCCATCCATTTTATCTGCTAATATTTCTATGGATTCTATAATGCTGGGATGTATAGCCAAGCAACCACCATGTCCGCACTATAGCAAAGAGCTGTGGCTATTTTAGAGCAAAACTGAAGCACAAAGATACCCACCCCATGGCCAAGCTCTGACAGAGCTCCAGATTATCCTGAAGACACCATCTTCTCTTTCCCCTGGGCCTACGAAACATAACGAAGGGTCAAGGTGATACCAGGAACACCTGGTGAGGCCCTTGGGAGCAGACGGGCTGGAGTCCAGGCTCTGCTGCCTGCCCAACTACAACCTAGACCCTCCAACTAGACCCTCCAAAAGCCAGCGATGGACATGGCTGCTACAGCTCTTTCCTGCTTTCACAGAATCACACACACAATTCCAGAATGGTTGAGGTTGGAAGGGACCTCTAGGGATCATCCAGTGCAACCCCTGCTCCAGCAGGGACACCCAGAGCACGGGGCACAGGGGGGCATCCAGGCAGGTTGGACATCTCCAGAGAAGGAGCCTCCACAGCCTCTCTGGGCAGCCTGTGCCAGGGCTCGGGCACCCTCACACCAAGGAAGTTCTTCCTCACATGGACATGGAGCTGCCTGGGGTTCAGCTTGTCCCCGTTACCCCTTGTCCTGTCACCGGCCACCACCGAGCAGAGCCTGGCCCCATCCTCCCTACATTCTCCCC